TATTATTTCTCAATTAATAGTCGTTTTTCCATTCTGATAAATAATTTGCAGAAATGAGGAGAAAGAGAAGAAAACATAACAAATAAATAAATAAATGTATTTTAGAATCTTAATTTAATAAATATCATACGTTTTTTAGTAGGAATTAAAAAAAAATTTATTATTAATTTATAATTATGCATACTGAATTTCTTTCCATTTATATTATAATTTCATCAAATTTTCTTTCCAGTTTTTTACTTCTCAATTCATAGTCATTTTTATTACTGTTATTATTGTGTTTATTGTTACTATTATCAATTACTGCTAATACTCACATTATTATTGATATTATTGCCATAATTATTACAAATACTACCACTATTATTTATTATTCGTAAACCAGCTCATCATACTGCCAACATTAACTGTAAAGGGCGCTATTTATTAAAAACTTTTTGCGACAAATTTCATAAATCATCACAATGATAATTTGATTTCTTTTTACATAGCTATGCCGACTTTTGAGTAAAATAATTTCATTTGTTGCAAATTTTTAAATAATCATTATATGATAATACACATTAGGTATAGCTTTATCATGTGTAAACTTGGAGAATAATTGAAATTCCAATATAGGTATAATGATATTTGATTCAATAAATGAATTAAAATAAGTTAATTATGTGTTTTTGAAAATCATTCGGAAAGGATATCACTTAATTGTAATTGATATCCGTAATTATAATTTATGAAAATTACGCATGAAAAGAAAAGAAATGAGAATAAATGAATAAAATGAAAATATTTTAAGAAAACTAAACTGTTTCAGTGTGAATCGTCAATATTACTCAAAAATGTTGCCATTTTTGAAATGATGAAAGTTTTTAAATGAGAGAAAAAAAAGGAACCCAAAAATGGAATCGTAAGGATTGGGGAGACCAATTGATACATTATCGATTTTTCTTTAAACATAATAACAATTTTCAAGTAATTAACAAAACTTCACATTTCTGGCACTATTTTCATTTTTTCTTCCTTCTTCTATAATATTCTTCAGAGTATTACTTTTATCTAAAAAGTTCATCAGCAGATAAAAATACTATATTAAGGAATTATCAATTGAAATTTTATCAATTTAGTATTAAAAAAATTTTAAAATACGCTACGTTACGTAAAAAAGAATGCTATATCTCGACCTTAAAATATGATTAAAACGTTTCAATTACTGTTTAATCTTTTCAGCAGGCAACAAAATGTATTTGTCTGGAAGAGCCATTTTTATTTGACTTAAAATATTGGAAAAATTGTTCGATTTATACTATATACGTGTTACGCATGATATTCTGAACGCGTGATATGTGCTGTACAAAGTTAACCATGCATATAATTTCTGATGTTAAAAGATGCTGAAAAATCACTAAATTACGGAAATAATTTTCAAACTATTTTTGGCACTATTCAAAAAATTCAACGATTGAAAAGAAGTGAAATTAGCATAATTAATTTTGCAATGGAATTCATGACAATACGGTTCCGTCAATTATAATAAGTCACGTCTTCCAATGATTGTCACACTCGTGACTAGCCATTAAGCGCTGTCTTTTCGTTTAATCTATCCGATAATTACTCTGCCGGTAATTTCGATTGTTTAATCTAAGCCGCTTCTTTATATGGTAATTTTTTTTCTTAAGTTGTTTATGACTTCTAGAATTCTCTATTGTTTTATCATATTACAAGGCACTACTTAATACCTAAAGGTCAAGTGCAATGGGAAGGTTAAGGTTTGCTGAATGTTTTATATTGCGGAATGCTACATTAAAGTACTAAAATTATCATTGCAACAATCAGATCATCAAAATTTGTCAAATGTTGACATTTAGATTCATTTAGACGTGAAGTTTTAGTCATAAAATAATCATTATTAACACACTTCATAATATTTCTATTAATGTTGTAAATCTAAAATTGATCTCGTAAAATTTTTAAATTTCAAATTTAGAAAAAATTTTCAAAAAGAAAAAACTTCGAATTTTTAAGCTATATTTGATGAAAATTATTTAAGAATACTTTTGAAAGAATTATTTGCAGTAGGCAAAATTGCAAGAAGGAAACAGTGCAAATTAGTTGAAGAGATCAAAAAATTTGAAAAACAATATATCATTTGAGATTGCAATACTTTTTATGTAGCAGTGACCAGAGAAAACAGACAAATAAGAAAGAATGTTGTATGCAAAGAGACGGCAATGATTGATAAGAATTGTGAAATTTTGTTGATGAAATGAATACTACCATAACTGATTGCTTTTGGGAGAGCAAAAACAATCTAACCGTGTATTTCTTCTCCGGAATATCTTCACTTTTCTTCTTTTCCTATCTGTAAAAAAAAGTTTAAAATATTTTGTGGTTACTCTCTTTCAGTGAATATGTTGCAATTAGCATTTTTTTGCATTTATTTTTAGTGCCGCACTTTCCGAATATTCGCGGTTCCCGTGATTGTATGGATCATATTGAATGATTTGACCTGATTTTGATAGAAAGAAAGAAAGAAAGAAAGAAAAAAAGAAAGGTGTACAGTTGTTACGATCACATCCTGAAAGCGATTTATGCACGTACCCATTCTGTCAAATTGCTTTGTTAAATCAATCTGTTCATCCATCGGTTACAAACAATTCCTCAATAGTAGTAATATGTGAGGTTGTTTGAGCGATACTTAAAATTTGAAAAAAAAAAAATATTTCATGCATTTCATACATTTTTTTCTTGACAGTACTATTTCTCAAATCAATTTTTGCAGCCGTTGATTTTACGGTTTTTCACTCGTTTGTTTTTTAAGTTTTTTTTTTTTTTTT